TGAGCGGTGACCGCATGGGCTCTGCTCACGGGCCGACGGGCTCCACGAGCTGACTCGTCCCTGGTCTCCGTGGTGACCAGCGAGAAGCCCTGTGACAGGTAGAAAGGGACTCAGAGATTCTTTCTTGATGGGAGAACTGGTCACCCGTCTGTCGTGATACGGGGGTCACCCCTCTCTGGAGCCGTCGAAGGCCAGAGCTGGTGGGCCCCGACCGGACAGAGCCCGGGGAACATTTGCGGAGTGGACGGGAGTTCTCTGGGGTGCTGGAGCGGACGGACCTGCAGGTCCTCTGCGGGACAGGAGCCGCGGGTTCCTCTTCTGCCCACAGGAGCTCTCGCTCAGAGACCGGCGCCCTCTGTGCTTCGCCAGCTCCTTGTCAGCGCGGGATCTGTCATGACGGGTAATCACCGGGGCTCCGGGAGGGTGAATTGCACCCGCTGACAAGACCCTTCAGGCCCCTGGGAACGGCCGGGCAGTGGAGGTCAAGCGGGAACCAGCCCGGCCGTGCGCCGGGCGGGGCGAGTGAGGGAGCGAGCCCAGCTCTCACGGGGGGGCCCACGTGAGGTGCGACAGGAAGGACGAGGCTGGGGGCCGAGGACAGAGAGCAGCCAGCAGAGGGAGGTGGCTGGATGGCCGAGCCCAGGGGGTGCAGTGAGAAATCACGGTCAGCCTGGGTTGCCCTGAGCCGGCGTGGGGAGTCTGGGCCGTGCGCCGAGACCGGGAGGCTGGGGGGTGGGGGAGGGGGGACTCCAGAGCTGCGTCTTCTGATTGGGGGATGTTGGGGGGTGCCTTTGGCGTCCTCAGCCCGAAGCAGGCAGCTGTGTGTGGCGTCTGGGTGTTCCTGCCCCTTCATGAGGGGGTGTCGGCCTCACTTCCGGCCTGAACTCTAGCGCCGCTGTTCTGGAGACCCACGCACGGACGGCAGAAACCTAAGAGCAGGGAGAAATGAAAAGGGACGACCTTGGGCGACGGGGGACGAGGGCGAACCCCTCTTTAATCCTGTTCAGACTGTTCCCCTCCCTCCAGGGCCTGCGGGCCCCGCCCCTGCTCACCCGGATGGTCTCCCGGCCTCGCCCCTCTGCTGCCCACCCTCTGCGAGGCCGCCGGGGGGTCTTCCGACACCCCGAGCTTCACTCTCCCTCCCCGCACAAAGTTTCAAAGGGCCCCCTCTGGTCTTCCTAGGAATTCACCAGAGACCAGCCCCACTACCCCCGCTGCCCCGTCCTGCCTTCTGCGGCCGGTTTCCACTGGGGCCCCGTCCTGGGGGAGCTTGAACGGTGCCCACTGGCCCCGGATGAACCAGTGCGGGGAGCGTCCCAGGCAGCGGACTTTTAGTTCAGTTTCCCAAGGCTTGGGGACACCACCTTGAACTATTTGCAGGTCCCAGAGGAGGGAGGTGACCCTTTGGGGGACTTCGCTCCACAGTCAGCCCCCCTTGGCCCAAAGCTACGGGACCGGTTCTGGCTGCCACCGGGGTCCCCCACTTCAGCCAGGGCGGGGCCCGAGCGGGCGTGAGTGCCGCCAGCCGCCCGGCTGTGGGGGCTGGGCCTGCCCTTGCACACCACAGAGCTGATGGTGGGAGGGCCATCACCACTGAGAGGAGGACCCTGAGCCCAGGTTCTCCGCACTAATTAAAGTTACTGCCGGGAGCAAAGCGGAGAGAAAAAGGGCCCCACGCCCTCTCCCACAGGAGCAGCTGCTGCGGGGGCGGGGGGGGGGACACGAGAGGGGCTCCATGTCGCTCTCGGTGCCTGGGCTGGTTTTCTGCTTCTGTGCAGCCAGTTGTCACCGACACGGACGTTCAGAACAGCACGTGTGCCCCCATCACGGTGTCTGCGGGGCGGGAGGCCGGGTGTGGGCCCGAGGGTCCCTGGCTCAGCGTCTCCCTCCCGGCGCGACCACCCGGCATGGCGGGGTCAGCCGGAGCCGTGGCCTCACAGGGCCTGTCAGGGTGCTCCGCCCAACTCCTGTGGCTGACAGTGGCACGGATGTCCTTGCGGTTGTGGGTGGGACTGAGGTCCCCTTTCCTAGCAGGCTGGGGACTGCCCTCAGCTCCCAGAAGCTGCCCACAGGCCCCTCCTCTCCCAGCCTGGCAGCTCCTCTCTTCCCGGCCCGCTGGGCAGCCCGGCTGCACCCCGGGTCTCCGTCCATGGCCGGCCCGATGAGGTCAGGCCCAGCCGGGCAAGCCTCTCGGTGAACTCAAAGGCAACTGAGTTCTATTTGCAAAATCGCTTTTTCCAGAGAAACAGTCAGGAGTGATGTCCCCTTGTAGTCACAGGTCCTGCCCACACTCAAGCAAGGGCGGGTGTGTGGGGCCCCCCTGGGGGTGGCGTGGGGATCTCAGGGCCCCTCTACCCGAACTCACAGCCCTGTCCTCATCGACCTCATCCTCTAACCCCGCCGGACGGCTGCGAGCTCAGGGGACTCACCGGGGACAAAGGACCTGTCTCTCCAGACCAAGAAACGCCCACCTGCAGAGCTCCCTTACCTACTCCCGCATGGCCTCGCAGGACCTGCCTGGGTCACCTCCCTGCCTCCCCCTGGAACCCCCTCCTGCCCAGACCTGTCTCTGCAGTCCTCTCTGGTGTGCAAAGCACATTACCGGCAGCAGGGGGCGCTGCTGGCCTTGGCTGGGGGCAGCCACACCTGGGCCCCCGTGCACCTCCCTAGGATTCCCAGCTGTTCCCAGGGGTCGGGACCCTCACTAGGAGGAGGCCGGCTGAGCTGGAGTCTGTGGGCGGTTCTCTGCACCCCAGCCCGCATTGTTGCGGGTGGGTGGCAGAGTGCAGGGGCAGGGGCTCCCAGGGCCAGGCCCCCAGAGCAGACGTGCACGCCCCCACCTGGCGAGGACGCAGTTAGAAGTGGGGAGGTGCCTAGGTGCACGGGGGGGGGGGGCCTGGGCCGCCCCTTCTCTTGTGCCCCCCTTGTCTCTGAAGACCCCCCAGGCAGGCTGTAGCATTCACCTCCTCCCCACTTCTTCCCTTCAGGGGGTCCCAGGAATGTGCCGGGACCTGGATCCTTTCCTCCTCCTGAGTGCAGTGCCCCCGGGTGGGCTCCAGGCCCCACCACGCTGCGTCCGCCCTGGCTGGTCTGTCTGGTGGCCGACCGGGGGCCTCTGGGCAGGCCGGCAGCTCACCTGGCCCACAGGTTCGGCCCGGACACCCTGCGGGGCAGCTGGGGGCACCGTCCCCCATCACAGCTCCCTCCACGGCAGCGCTGCCTGTGGCGGCACGGCACGGCACGGCACATCACGTCACGCCGTGTGCGGCTCATCTGTGTGACGCCCCCCCCCCACGCTGACTATTCCACATGAGGAGACTTCCAGGAAGTGTCTGCACACCTGTCCACCGGGACCTCTGCAAAGCAAATTCTTCCCGATTTCAGAAACCGCCGGCCACACAGAGGCCCCCCGCCGAAACCACCGCTGGTTCTCCCTCATGGAAACCCCCAATTCAAATGAACTCAGTGAAAAGCAGGCATGTGGCAACTGAGGCGATACCAAAACCACGTGAAAAATGTTACACTTGGGAAGCATCGCCACGCCTGAGTGGCAGGAGCCGGTCCTTAGAGCTTCCGGATGTACTTCTGTAACAAACAGCAGTGTGTGTGTGTGTGTGTGTGTGTGTGTGGAGATGTGCAGGAAACCTGTTCTAGAAGATCCAGAAATGAAGTCGGCCTCGTGGAAAGTGGGGTTTTTTTCTCGTCCTTTCTTTCCCCAGCTCACTCACTGCACACGCCCCACCGCACACACGCTTTTCTGGCCCGGAACGCCACTCGGGTGCGAGGTCACACGGCGGCGTGGGCTGGCACGGGCGTCATGAGGCTGCAATCGGTTTCGCTCGCCACCGATCACACGTGGGCGTGTGTCTCTCTGGAAGGAGCAGATGTGGGTTGTGAACACGCAGAAATTAGTCACACGTCACACTTGGAAGAAATGGGAGCTTAGTCGATTTTCAGTATCGACAAAGCGTCACGGACACACAGCCAGGGCCTCCCAGAGAAGCGCCACATCGGGACGCTGCTCACGGCCGCGCGGGCTGCCGGGGGCCTGCCTGTGCGCGACGCCGTCTCACGGGCGCCGTTGCGGCGTCAGACCCTCGCCAGGCCGTTTCCACTGGGACGTGATCCTGACTTGTGTCCGTCTCCCGAGGTTGGAAGGTGTCATCCCGAGTTTGAAGACACGGAGTCAGCGGCAGGAAGGCACGCTCTCCGCGTGACGCAGCGCTGCCGTGCGCGGCGTGCGGTTTGGCGGGCTGGGGGACCGCCAAGCCTGTTGTGCCGCTACTGCGTCCTTGCTGCCGCCGGCACCGCGCTCCCCAACCCAGACAGGGACCTGCGCCCTGGCCCTTCCCGCCGCTGCTCACCCTCCGGTCTGTGACTCCGTCCCGGGAGTCTCATCCGCTGTCCCGCCCCAGCTCCCTCCCCCCTCCCCTTCTCACTGCTCCGGCTGCTGGAGGCGTGTGGGTCAGGACCCCGAGGTGCGTGTGGCTCTCCCACTAGGAGGAGGGACACGTGCCGCACAAGCTGTTCCTTCTCAGTGACCGACCTCTCACCGCGGCGAGGGCATCGCCTGGGCAGGCCTTGGTGGGCACAGAAAGCTCCCCTCCCATTGGTCAGGAGAGTCTCCGGAAAAGGCTGCCTGAGATCCGGACGGACACGTCCAGGCGGACGTTGGGAAGGTAACTGGCCTTCGCCACGTAGTGTCTCCCACGGGCACCTTCTAGCAGACGGGAGGACTTCTCAAACGGGCCGTCACACTGGTGCTCAGAGGGTCGTCCTCTCCTGTCACCTGGCCAGACAGAAGAGACGCTTCCGTCTGTTTCACCCACCGTCCCCTTTCCTGCGTGTGTGATGTGCCGTGGGCAAGGCCCGCCCTCTGTGAGCCGGAGCGAGGACGCAGGAGCTTCTAAACTCTAAGGGGTGAAGGGACGTGTCCCGAGACTGCGGGTTCCGAAGGGTTCGCGGACTGACCAGTAGAAATAAAGGGACGACCAGGCAGCTTTTCCATAAAGAGCGTATCGTGTGGATTTATTACAGAACGCGATTAAAAAAAATGTTCTGAGGTCAGCCTCTCCGGTTTGAAAGCACTTACCTAGGAACACACGGAGGGCCACCCCCCCCGCCCCGCCCCCACCGAGAACTGTGGACAGGGCTTTGAGAACATTCCGCCAATTTCCTGATGTGAACAGTCGAATTTACTCACTTCTCCGGCGGAACTGTCTTCTCATTTCCCAAAGCATGCACTGTGAACTCGGCATTAGGTATTTCAAAATGACACACTTGGTTACGGTATTTTTTTAAGGCTGAAATATAACACCTGTTGACCAGACGCATACACGACAACTAGAAAAATCCACAGACACTGATGAGGGTGACGGCTCCATCGGGAGTGGATGGGGAAGGCACTGCGTCCCTCTTGTGTCACTGCCCGCCCCCTGTCCACGTCACATGCTTGGAATTCGAGTCCCGCCCGACGTTGTAACGGTGTTGCTCTACAACGCACGGTCACAGGTGGGCTGCTCCATCTCACACCACCCCCCCACCGCCATGTTTTTGTTCACCCAAGTGCACAGCAGGTCGGAATACACGTATCGGCTTTATTTACACGTTTATCTTGATGCTTTGGTGGGTTAAAAAAAAAATCAACTCTTTTAACCAAGCATCCCCAGGAAAGGTTTTGGCTGGGACTCATCCGTGGTGGACACCCACATGTGAGGCACGGATGAGGTGGATCGCGCCCCACGACGAGCCGGCAGCGAAACCCTCTGAACCGGGTGAGCGGGGCTGGCCTGGGAGCTCCCGAGGGACCCCTCCCCTCCCGTGAAAGCACGGGCGACAAGACACACAGGGCGGGGGCCGGGTGACACATTGTGGGCGGGACTCCCCGCCAGGAGTCGTGCATCTGCAGAGGTGCGAGCTTCCAGGCGCCTTCCTATCCTCCCAAAACATGCGACATGACGAGAGCGTACGTAACTCTACCTACGGACGAGGGTTAGTGTGGGGAATGGGGAACACACATGCACCAACACCAGGACGGGGGGGAGAGAAACCAGACGTCATTGGACACCCACACGGCCCGGCCCGTGGTTCCCCCAGCCTTCCAGCCTCGGCCGCAGCAGGGGAGGGGCTCCCCCAGAGGGCTGTGTGGGATCGGCCCCGGGGCCCCCCCACTCCCCCGACCAGCCCGCCCTCGGCAAATGCAGAGCCCGGCAGGGAAGGACAAGTCCAGGACACCACGGTTATCGGGTTTTCTCGAGACACTCCCTAACGGCCGTGTGCGGTTGCCCCACACTCGGCGGTTGGCCCGGGACACCCTGGGGCCGCAGGCATCCGTGTGCAGTGTCAGAGCCGGGGGACAAAGCCGTGATCCTCCTCTGAGCGACGGGAACTGGCGTCCCCGCCACCGCGATCGGGGCTGCCCCCTCCGAAGTGGTGGCGGGCCAGTCCCACAGCCAAAGATTCCTCCCCACGAGTGGGGCTTGGGGTGGGTGCTTCGGCCAGGGGCCCGCTCAGCTCAAGTGCAGGGCCGTGTACTCCGGCCGGCGGGTCTGGATGATCTTGGGCTTGGGCCTCTTCGTCCTCTCCATCTCCTCCTCCTCCGCGTCCTCCTGGTCACTCTCGCACACGTGCACCACCACGCTCGGCGTGGTGTCCGTGGCTGCGTGCAGCTCGTACTTCTCCCCTGGGGAGGGAAAGGAGGGACCGCTCGGTGACTCGGGCAGGGGCGGGGAGCTGCCCAGCGGGCGCGCAGGGGGAAGGCCCGGGGGGCATGGGCCGCAGGGGCTGAGGGACACTGCCGGACACGCCCTGGGCTGCGGTGCCTGGGGCGGCAAGAGCAGGAAGCAGGGTCTCCTGCTGCCCCTGCCCAGGGCACCCTCTCCAGGAGGACGGCACTTCTGTCCTCAAAAGGGGGGACGCTTTTCTGGACGGCACCGGTGAGACGGGTGTCACCGTCACTGCGTTTGAAAAGGGCCCGAGCCCTCTTGGGGGAGAGTCGAGGTGGATAGTCAGCTGGACCCTGGGGCACCTGGGCCGGGAGGCTCTTTACGAACCCTCCCAGCCTCCCATCACCAGTCACAGCCCAGGAAGGGCGGGCGCAGGACGCCACCTGCAGAGTCCCCGCCGTCATGGGGCCTGCAAAGCGCGGCCGGAGCAGGATCCATATTATCCGTGCTCGCTGGTAGGTAAACTAAGGGCGAATGGGTTTTGGGATCTCTCTGTTCCAAAGCAGCTTCTCAGATGAGCCTGGTGCAGAGCAGCGGCAGGCCACCCCGGGGCGTGTGGGGACCTCCTCCGGCCGCGCTCCCTGCCCCCCGCCCCCCCAGGGCAGCCTGCCCGTCTCCCAGCTCGGGGCCCCGGGATGCCCACCCTCCGCTCTGCCGCTGCTCGCCTTGGCCGGAGCGGCCAGGAGGAGCGCGTGCCTCCTCAGACTGGCCGCGGCCACCTTGACCTTCGCACCGCCCACCCCCTCGATGGGCAGGAGGAAGGTGAGCCTTGCTCTCTGCCCCGGGGGAAATTCCTGTCTGGGCAGTGTTTCCGGAAATGGGGTCTTTTCAGCAAGAAGCTGCTGACGGCCCAAGAAGCTAACGTCCTCCGCCCAGAGGGGCGTCCGGTGGCCGGTCGAGGGGGAGCGGGGAGCGGCCGGTCTCAGCTCAAGCCCATCCGCTGCAGGGACCGGGCAGGACGGGGGCTCCCACCTCGTCACCCCGAGACCCCCCCCACTTCCTCGCCCAAACCCCCCGTCACGCAGGACAGGGGCCACGGCCACTGCACAGTTTCTCGCAGGCGTGGACGGAGCGTGGCCTACGGGCCAGGCCCTGCTGGACTGCTGCTTCCTGTGCGATGGGCTCAGGGCGGCTGGCTCACACTGCCGCCAGGTAATAGGGCCCATTTCGTGGGGCAGGAGCCTGCGGCCGGAGTGCCCGGAACCTCTCCTCTAATCTCCGGTGCACTCAGCAGGGGAGCGGCCCGGGGAACCCCGAGGGGGCAGGGCTGGGTGCCTTCTGCACCCCAGTTTATGGTTCTGCCTTCCCCCAACACGGTGGGGGGCAGGTGAGAAATCACATCCAGGATGGAACAACCCTCACCAAAAACTCCTGAAGGTGGGGCTCTGTTTTCCTTTTCCACAGTCCAGCTGCTCATCCCCACTCGGGGCGACAGGGCCCGGGGCCTCGGGCCACCCACACAGGCTGTGCCCAGTGGAGACTCATGGAGCCCGGTCCTCACAAACCGACCCCAGTCCCTGCTGCGCACCTCCCTGAGGACCGAGGCCAGAGGCCGGCACACACGCCCCGGCACAAGTTCCATGGAAACAGAAGATGCGGATGGAGGACATCCACGCTTGCAGCAATCACACGGGGCTGGGGGGACCACGGGGGGACAGTGGGGCCCCAGTGCAGGAGAGCATCTGCACCCGGGGCCTTCAGGAGCCGTCTCTCCACATCTGCTGCCCGCCCCCCACACTGGGGAGTCCCGCTTACCTGGCCCAAGCTTGGAGATCGCGCACAAGAGGTCGTAGTTTATGACGGGCGTGGCATCTTCCACTTGTTTCCAGCCAACGGGCGGCGAGGCAGGCGGAGAGATCAGAAACTGCTTGTCGGGGTTCGGGGGGGCCAGGCGGGAGCTCCCTATGTGCAGAGTCTGGGGGGAGAGAGGAGGGCGGGTGGATGCAGACGCGGTGTGACAGCATGGTCCCCGCCTGCAGGGCGGCAGGACCTGGCGTGGTGCAACGGCCCAGAGGGCGTCCGGCGCTGGCCGGTGGGTGCAGCCCTGACGGGAGCCCCTCCCGGGGCCGGGGCTGCCGGGCGACCCCGCTGGGCCCAGACGGTGGGCAGTGGACAAGGCTTTTGCCCAAAACGGAGAAACAAAGCCACCGGCGTCCAGGGTGGAACCCGTCTAGGAATCCCTTCCTCCCAGCCCTCACAGCAGAGGCCCAGCGGAAGCTTCAGGGGGCAGGGGGCAGGGGACAAAGCAGGGGACAGGGCCCATGGCAGCCTCGAAACTCCCTGTCCTCGGGGCTTTGAGTCAGATGCCCGAAGAGAAAGAAAAAACACCCTCCTTCCCTGAGACAGAAAAACAACAACAAGGAAGAACAACCTAGGATTCCGGCTTGAGCCTGTGCAGAAAGATCTCACATGAAAATCGCACCAGTGTGGCGGGGCGGGGGGCGCGGGGCGGAAAGGAAAACGGACTCGTGCACGTGAACTATGTGAACTACTGGCAGGGGGCGGGGCATAAGAGGGACACATGGTAACAGAAGAAGGTAAAATAAAAAAATCTCCCCAGTTTGGGTGCCCTGCCTCCGCCAATTTCTACAATGCATGTACTGGATTAATCAGAAACAGTCGCAGAGGGACTAAACAGTTACTTATGTGAAACCACCCGATGCGCGAAGGAGCGTCTTCGGAGCTAAGCCTCCTAAGTCCAAGCCTGCGCCCAGCACACACCACTAGGGGGCGCGGCAGGGCATCCCAGCTCTGAAGTCCGGGAAATGAGCCTTTTTCTGCTGTCCGGATGCGTCCCCCGAGGGGCTGCTCCTGTGGGGGCCTGGGGAACACAGGGCCCCGAGGGGCTGCTCCTGTGGGGGCCTGGGGAACACAGGGCCCCGAGGGGCTGCTCTTGTGGGGGCCTGGGGAACACAGGGCCCCAAGGGGCTCGCTTTCACTGGGGAGCAGCCCCTCAGCAGCTCCCTCCCCTCCCCGTCAACCTGTCCGACCAGACCCGTTAGCACATCTCGTGCGGCTCTCTTTGCGGGGGAGAGGCCTGGAGGGGTGGCGAGCCGGGGAGAAAGCAGATCCAGCTCCAGGCTGGCCGGGCTGGCTGGGCTGAGGCGACCCCCATCCTGGGGCCCGATCGCCCCCCCACCCCGCCCCCGCATGCCGCACCTTCCCCATGAATATCACTACTCCACCCAAGAAGGGGAAGAAGTTACTTTCAAACACACTCTGCCGTTTCCTGAAAATAAGGCGAGATGGAAAATCTGGAGTGTGGATTTTACCTTTCCCAGGATGAGTTCTTAATAGTGTGACATCAATGCGGCCACTGGTTCTAAAAGAAGGGAGACGCATGTGTAGCAATACCCTCCACCCACCTGAGCAAAATACAACTTCATCTCCTTCCCGAGAAATTCAGTCTTGTGCAGCTGCAGCCGGGCATCGGCCGCGGACAAGGGGTTGCTGAAGTTTATTCTGACGCGTTTGAAGCTCTTAAAATACTGAAAGGTGATGTCCTTGTCGTATGTCCTAAAGAGGGATTCGAATTTGGCCTGGAAAACAAAAACGAAAGGCATTAAAATGGACCTTCCCGCGACCGGAGACGCCTTCGTGGTGTTTGTGACGGAGGTGGCGGGTCACGGATCCCTTCCGGAGCTCCCGGCTCCTGGGAGCAGCCAGAGTGAGCCCCTCTCCCTCCACCCGCCCCCGAGGTTCTGCGTGCCGCCCCTTTAACGCGATCACAGATGGTTTTGTAAGAAAGGAGGCGTGTGCGACCCACGGAACTCACACAGCAGCCCCACTCCCGACACCGGAACACGCCCCGTGGTCACAGACACGCTCTTCTTCAAGGACGATGAGCCCCCGCCAAGTGCACTCTGCCCCACCCCCGCCACCCCTCCGGCCCCACGGAAGGGAGCCCCGTGCCCACCGCTGCGCCCCCTGGGCCGAGCCCCTTGTCCAGCCGGTGTGTCTCTGGGGGTTATCAGCAGCGGAGCGGACCGAGAACACCACGGTTACTGACTCGGAAAACAATGCAGTCGTGAGTAAGAAGCCTTGCACTTCTTGATGCGAGGGACGGAGGTTAAAAAAAATTCCCACTATTGTTTTCTCACCCAGTCTGCTGCTCTGTAACTCTCTCATACAACGCTGGTCTCAAAACCACTGCACGGCGAGTGGAGCTGGCCCCCACACGCGCGCACCCCTGCAGCCTGACCTGCCTGGCGGCGGTCCCAAGCACAGCCCGCGCGCGCTCAGCCCGGGGATGCCGAGTTCAAGGGTCTCACGTTTGCATTCAGGAGCGAGCGCACCGGCCTCCTGGGCAGGCTCCGAGGAGAGCCCACCCCCACCCCCAGCAGCTGGAGGTTTTCGTGGGGGGTTGTTTAAGGGGCGCTGGGCGCCCACCGCAGTCCCTCCGGGTTCCAGCCGGACAGGGTGTTGATGGACAGTCGGAACTTGGAGGACAACGCGCGGACTTTTGGTGGCTGTATTTTCTGGCTGAAGAGGGTGACGGGGCAGCGCGCCCTGCACACACGGGTGAGTGATGCACACACACGGGTGAGTGCTGCACACACGGGTGAGTGCTGCACACACGGGTGAGTGATGCACACCCACCAAGGGCCTGGAGACCTCTGGGAAGCCGTGTTCCCGCGGGGGGTGGGGGGAGGCTTCCACACCAGCGAGGACAGCACCTTCCGGAATGCTGGGTGCCGGGAAGCAGGGACGGAACGGGCCTCCGGGGACGTGGCCACTCCGCCCGGGGCAGGGCTGCGGGCAGGTCCGGTGTGCCAGCCGCCAGGTGACCCCACCAGGCGGGCTGTGGAGGGGCAGGGGGACCACACACACTTTCGCTCTTCGAACTCCCTGGCTTCTCTCTAGTTTGTGGCCACGTCTGCGACTTTCCCTGAAGCCTCGGCAGAGGACCGAGAGAGGCGGCAGGCAGATGCCAAGGCTGGGCGGCGGCACTGGGCGCTGGGGGCTCCGTCCCCCCCTCCCCTGAGCTCGGTGGCGGGGGGGGGGTCCTGGTACCGGCGTCCACACACACTCGGCACCCCGCGTGCCCTCGTCAGTGGGCACTGTGACCGACGGTGGAGCTTTGAGGTTATGATTCATAACTTAGGAGAGGTGACTTGGAAGAGTATTTTTAGACTCCAAGTCAGGGCTCGGGGCCAGAACACAAGTGAGTGCACGTGAGCCTGTAAGTGCGCGTCACCTGCTGCGTAATTCTCTCCAAAAGTGCTCTGACTTGTCCCGACAGCGTGCACCTCGCTCCTGCGGGGCTCGGTGGCGCCTCCGCTGTGCTGAACTGGCAACTGCACCCACATCAGGCTGATAGTAAATACATGCTCTGCTTTTAAACACGGAATGTGCTCCAGTATCTAGTTCAAAACCCACAGCCCGGGCCGGCAAGCTTAGCATTTATACTTACGGGGTTAAATTTGATTAAAGAAAAAAAAAAGAAACCTTTGCATATTCGATACGGCTTTGCGTATACAGCATGTTACAGGCGCACCACCCCCCCCCCCCGCCCCCCATGGAACGCACAGAACTCACAGGGAACATTGGTGAGGACCATTGAGACAGCTGGGGCGGCACTGATGGAAACCTTGCATCCTCATCGGATGAAGGAGAAGATTATAGTAACGAAACTGACTAATTATATTAATTACCAACACTGAGAGCTGCTCCCCAGGGGGCACGCTCGCCCACACGGACTTGTTCAGCTTTATTACTGGCTGTGGCTGCGCCTTCTCGGGCTAGCGAAACCTGGAATGCCTGCCAGCGCGCGAATGCCTTAGCAACGTTCATTCCCTAAGGCAAAACCAACTTATCCCGAACGCTGGATGCCAAAACGAAACGTCCTGTTCACGAGGAACTTCTGAAACGCTCACTCAGGATGAAACACACCCAGTGCCCCAGGTCTGCCTCCTCGGTCTAGGGATCTGGACGTGTTCAGATCCTGAGAACTTTAAAAATCCCTCGCAGTTAACTCCTTAGGAGACAGCTTTTGATTTTGGAGGCTCAAAGTATTCTGGATTATTTCACAAGCCCCAAGCGCACAAGAACTCCACACGCCTCCCCCAACCCCTACATAGCTCAGTTACTAGTCCCGGTTAACGGAATGCTTTGAAAAACTCTCAAAAATCACATCGTAGAAGAAGCCTTACCCTCGTTTCGCTTTCACTGAAGACATCACCGTTTGCCACACAGGCAATCAAGGAGCTAAAACTGTAGTCAAAATTTCTAAAATGCATCTTCCTTCCTTGCAGGCAGCGCGCTAGAGACGCACGCGGGTGCAGCGCGAGCGCCAGGATGCTCTCCGAGGGAGCGAGTGAGCGAGCGGCTGGGGCCCCTCCGCGGAGCCGCTGCTTATAAGGCGCCGCGGCGGCCCGGCCCCCTCCGGGAAAAGCGTCGCTACCAGCGCATCCTGTTTGGACAGCGAATCCCTGAGTCAAGCCCGGCGAGCTCCAGCAGACAGGGACGGCGTGTGAGTTTCTGCTGGAAAGAGGTGACGTCAACACCTTAGTCATTTTCCCTATGCTAATGAACGCTGCCCGGGCGGGATGGAAAAATCGGCCAGGCTCTCTGCAGCTGCCCCTGCCAGCTCCTGCAACATAGTTTCCACTGGTAGTAATTGCACTGGCGCTCAGACCCCGCGCTCCAGCGAGCTCGGGGAGGGGGCGGGGGACGACCCTCCCTAAGACGGAAAATGTTACCACAGAAAAGGAGGAAGGTCCGCGGTAAACAGTAATTAGCCTCCAGGGGGTTTTCAAGGCTTTGGGAAACCTGGACGGAGGCCCCGGCCGGCTCTGGGATCCCTGCTATTTCCTGAAGAACAATACAAGTTTCATACTGGGGCAGCAGAGAAAACGTCTGAAGTTATCTTGGTCAAGGAACTGCAGTTTTTAAAGAAAACAGTGGAATTCGTTGTGAAATACGGCTTTTCCCCCCGACGGCACTTGAACTGGGCGAACGCCCTGGTGCCTGCTTGGGCTGCACCGCGGCGCCAGGGAACCTTGTGCAATCACAGAATTTTCGCTGGAAAACCGCGAACTGCTGTGATTGGAGAGCCAGGAGCATGCAAGGCTTTGATCATCTCGTAGCAGCTACCGAATTCAGAGAAAGCTACAAAGACATTTTAAAGAACCCAGTGTATGAAGCTGAGAAAGACATTCAGAGGTCCCCCAGCTGTGAGACTCATAGATTAAAAATGTTTGTTTGTTTGTTTGTTTGTTTGTTTAACTAGGAAAGGAAGGGAGTGAGGAAGGAATGCGCAGTGCAACTGAAAGTTAGTCCCGCTGGCCTTTCCCAGGTTTGTTTCTGGGAAGGATCTGGGAAGGGGACAGCTGGCCCTTCCAGGCACTTGACTAGTTCAGATCCATCCTCCCGTTACTCTGGGTCCTGGGTCCCTCCCCCTCTCCCCGGGGTTCATTACCACCTAAAAGCACTCTGCAGTGTAGAAACACAGGGGCACCTTTCAAGCTTCCAAAAGTTCAAAGGGGCCCTACCACTCACTTTTAAAGAGTCAGCCAAAAATACAAAGAATACACACAACAGGAAAAACAAAAACAAACCAGAACATTAATTCCTCCAAAAAAAAAAAAAAGGAAAAGCAAAGTCTCGGATGAATGAGTGTTACTTGGTTTCCTTGCATGGGGCCTTACTGCCCACTGGAGAGTTACGTAAGAAACTGGGTAGGGTGTTTGCTTTGCCAAATCACCCGTAACTCCCAGCCCGAAAAGATCTACCTGCACATATTCTAGAAAACGTTGGAATGCCGTGGATGAAATGGTGTGCATCAAGCACCCAGGGGGGAATGGCCACAGTGGGGGGTGCTCGGGAGGGGAGTGGGTGCTGGGACTGAGGTGCCCAGTGCCGGGCGCAGCGTGTCCTGGGGACACAGAGAGCCTTTGGTGGTGCGGCTGGTGGTGTGGGTCGTGGAGGTGCTGGGGCAGCTAAGGGGAAGGGGTTGCACTGCACCCTCCAGAGGGGCTGGACCTCCCCTGGGCGCCCCTCCACTCCGACCCCATCCCTTACTCCGGTCCACTGTGGCCAACAGCTGGAGGGTGACCGGCAGAGGGGGAGGAGGCGAATTTCCCTGTCTTCTCTTGTAAAACGCGCTGACGCGAAGCTCCAGTTCAGGTGCGGGGCGAATGTGGGCCGTTTCTGTTCACCTGAGACAGCAGTGCTGGGCTCCCCCAAATTTGCAACTATTATGCGGGTGAAAGGAAAAAAGAAGAGTCAGATATTCGAAGAGTGACCATCTGTCCTCGCGCACGGAAACCAGCGATGGACGACCGGTTTTTCCCTGGGCTGCCTGGCAGTGCCACAGAGCGCGTAATTCGGCACCTGCCTCTGAACTGATCTGAGGTGCCTCCTGAATCCAAATCGGTGAACCTGAGTGCTCCCATTTCTGCATCAGGGAGGGGCTCAGAACAGCGGTCGACGGCAGGGAGGGTGGCCAGGACGCCGTGTGGCGAAAACCACCAGCCCCAGATGGGACCGGGGACCCGCATGGGGGGAGAGGCCCCCCGGAGCCACCAGCGCAGGCTCCCCTGCCTCAGAGGGGCAGGTGCGGAGCGGACTCGGGGGTTCGACGCGCCAGGCTGAGCCGCGTGGCGCCTTCGCGGAGCCCCGACGCCCTGGCTGGCCACGGGCGCACACGCCAGCCCCGTGCCCAGAGGCAGCACCGCGTTCCCCCTCCTCGACGCCCTCCCGCCTGCTACCGACCGACGGTGGGCGGGGGAACGCCCGCCCTGGGGCTGCACGTCCGTCACACGTGAACTTGGACCGACCTCGTGGGTCTCCAAACGCCCTGTGCAGAACGATTTACTGTGGAAATAGCGGTTTTCCCCGCCGAGAATAAAAATGGGCCCCGAAGCAAGCACTTGAAGAAGCGGACTCCCAAAGTGAACGCACGGGACCGCCCCAAACGCAGAAGCTTCTGCGCAGCAGAGGGAGTCGCCACCAGGACGAAGAGGCGACGGCCTGGACGGGAGATGGCGTCTGCGGACAGCTCTCGGGCCCAGGCCCGCGGTGAGCCCGGCGCACGTGGGGGGCCCCCCGCCCGGCACCAGGAAACAAACCGCCGGCGTGAAGGGCGCGCGGGGGTCTGGCAGACGCTCTCCCAGAGACGTGCAGGGGCCACCGGGCGCGCGGACAGAGGCTCAGAGTTACTCGCTGCCAGGGAAACAGGGACGAAGACCGCAGTGCACTGTCACCTCGCACCGTTGACATGCTGTTGCCAGGAAGACGAGAAACACTGGGGGCTGGACCTGGCGAGCAGAACAGGGGGCCCTTCTCGGCGGGAGTGCACCTGGGTGCAGCCGCCACAGAAAAAGCGGTACGCCGATTCTCTAAAAAATTAAGAAGGGAACCACCGCGTGCTCCAGCTCTTCTGCTGGTGGGCGTTTTTCGGAGAAAACACAGACACTAACTTGAGGTGCCGTATGCGCTCCTGTGTTCACTCCTGCCGCGTCACCCTGCCGCCGCCACAGCCAGGACACAAAGACAACCTGAGTGCCCACCGGTGGCCGCACGGGTAGAGACGGCACGGTACAGGCCCACGGTGCAGCACGGCTCGGCCACAACATGGGACAGAGTCTCGCTGTTGGCGAGAACATGGGGGGACCGCGAGCGTACAGCGCTCGGTGGGGTCACACAGAAGGGAAGACGAATATGCACGACTTCACTCACGTGCGGAATCGACAACAACAGGAACCAGCCCGAATCCTCAGACAGAGGGGAAGGGGGCTGGGGGCTGGGGGGAAGGGTCACCTGGATGGTGAGGGGCGGTAATTAGACCTTTGGGGGGGGCAACTTGGTCCTGAATACAGTTGTCAAATTATAATGTTGTGCACCTACAACTTACATAATAATAATAATAATAATAATAATAATAAATAAAGGAGAGCCCAAACGAACCGCCAGTGACAGAACCCAAGTGAGTGACTTCCCGGAGCCGGGGTGGGGGAGGGGCTGGGCACCCACAGGAACCTCTCGGGGGGGCGGAGGCGCCCCGCCCGACTCCCGACTGCGGCGGGGCCGTCCCCGCGCGCACACCTGCCGAAACCGCCCTGCACGCTTTACATCTGTGACAGTGGCGTCACGTGAGTCACTCCCCACTGCGGTTGCTGAGAAACAGTGGAAACGCTGCCCGTCTCTTCGCAAGCCCCTCGCGGGTGGGGACGCAGGGACATCCTGGCTCCCCCGCGGGGACCTGAGCGATGGGTGGGGGAGGGTGACGGGGGGAGGACCCCGTGCGGGCGGCAGTGTCCCCGCAGAAGCCCTGAGCAGCAGACCAGAAACCGCACTCCCAACGGCACACCCGAAGCTGAAGGACAGATGAAACGCTTCGGCCGGCCGACGGCTCGCGACGCCGCGTGTTTCTGCGGTGAACAGTCTCGCCGTGAACCGTCCGGAGTGAGAGTCCCGACCCCGCGTCGGCCTCCGCAGGCGCCAGGCCGTTCGGGCCGACGCGCCGCCCCTTCAGGGAGGGAGGCTCGAGGCTGGCGTTGAACTCCACCCCGGCCACCCCGCCGTTCCCAGGGCACCGTGAGGACGCCCCCGGCGCGCCCAGGGGACCCCAAGGTGGGGGGGACGCCTTTGCCCGGCGACGCGCTGCCCGATGACCACGGGCGACCAGGGAGGGTGACTTTGCCGTGCGAGCTGACGCAGAGCGGACGAGGGAGCTGGAGGGGGGTCCGGGGCGGGACAAGGGCCCCGGAGCGGGTCAGAGGGGCGGGGCGTTCGCCCGGGCGCCCGAGGGACCTGCGTTTCCTTCCTCGAGGGGCTTTCCTGTCCTGACTGCAGCGTTGGCAGCGGTTTCCTCCATCAGGGCGCCCCCCCCCCCCGCGTCCCCATGGGGACGCGGTCACAGGGCTCTTCCTCCCCCTCCGCGCGGCCAGCTCCCCGCCCAAGAGCCCTTGTCCACTCAGGACAGTGTCCCCGTCCTCCCCTTGGAAACTGGGTTAACGTCAAGTTCAGGGTTTGGGCAGGGGGACGCAGTCGGACCCAGGCAACGTGCCCAGTGCACGCGGTGCCGGAGACACGGTCCGTGGTCGATGCGCGTTTAGCTGCGTTTCATTCCCGCTTTGCGGATACAGACACCGAGGTCCCCAGGGGCCGCTGTGCCCCGCAGAGCGCAGAGTCGCCCGGGGCTTGTGACGGCAGGCCCCTCGCGCGCACCACAAACCGTGCCCACCTGGCGTCGGTGCCCTTTGCTGCTGGAGCTCATTCCCCCCCGCCCCCACTCTCTCGGCCCTCTGGCTGGACTGTCCAGGGCGCCTTAGACGCTCTGTGCCCCGCAGGCCGGCGCAGGGGGCGTAGGTGCTCCGTGCCACCCTCCACTCCGCGCGCCCAGCGCCCCCTTCAGACAGCCCTCTGCAACCGTGCCACCTTCCCGACTCGCTGTGGCCCCGTTCCTGCTGCCCCAGCAGAGCGGGCGAGTCCCACCACATCGCCCGGCCCGAAGCCGAGCTGCATCACAGTCCTCTCCTGCCGCCCACACCTCAGCGATCCCGCTGCTCGTCACGGTGACGATGACCTCCACCGCTTCGTCTGCTCGTGCATCCACGCACTTGTCCACTCGTGCACCCGTCATGCATCCACTCACCCACCCACCCTTCCAACCACTCACCCATCATCCA